GGATCGGGAGATTTGGAACAGGACTCCGGAATGAGAACGGCAACCGTCTTGTTGGGCTCTTATCCGCCGCGCAACTTTTTCATGGCAACTCAATCTTCGTGAAGAAAGAACATCGGCGGACGGACGTGGGAGTCACCCAACGATACGACTCATGCGGAGATCGACCACATTCTCACCAACCGATAGTGGTGTTTACTGGACGTCTCAGTGGTACCATCCTTCAGCAGTGGTACAGATCACCGCCTCCTTCGAGCAAAAGTGCGATTCAGCCGAAAGCTGGAAAAGAAGATCTGTTACCGTGTTGGAGGAAGGAGAGAATCGTATATGACAGCGTCAGACTGGAGGAGCTCCTGACCACTTATGACTGACCTATCGAGGAGGACTCAGCGAAGGATTACGATCTGCTTCTCAGAGGACTGAAAGCCTGTGGTGAAAGTGCCTCAATGCCTTGAACAAGAACTTGGAACGAATTTTGAAAGCCACCAACGATCTGCTAGAGAGGAGGAGAGCATTGAGGCTGGATCCGACTGCATCATATCTCGAGCGACTGGTAGCCAATACCAGCTGCAGAACAGCTTTGCAAGAAGATCTCCGAAAGTACAAGCAGTCGAAACTTTTGGAAGCAGCGCAAGGAAAAAGGCTAAAGAAGTACCTCAGGGACCTTCTCGGCTACCGCTTCCGCTGACAACACTACTAAACGAAAAAGAGACTTGCACATCTTCCCGACAAGAAATGGAATCGATCACGATGAGATTCTACGTCAATCTCTTCCGCTCATCAACATTCGTGTCAAACCCCGTTATTCTCACTGGAGAAATACCACCACCTACCTGCTGAAGTACGCACCGCAATTAAGACCATGAAGGCAGCCACGGCTCCTTGACCGTATCAAGTTTCGGCCGACTCTTACGAGCTGGAGGATATCGCCTACACGAGATACTTGCAAAACATCTGACGTCTTACCTTCAAAAGGAAAGGATCCCCGACCAGTAAAGAACCTCCCGAACAATCCTCCTTCAAGAAGAGTGATAGGGAGGATCTTCGGAACTACCGTCCAATATGCCTGCGAGCGTGCTTTACAAGCTCTTTAGGAAAATTATTCTCGCTCGCATATCAAGAACCTGGATGAAGCCCAACCTGTAAAACAAGCTAGATTTCGCAAAAAATCAGCTGCGTGGATCACATCCAGACAGTTTCGAGGATCATCGAGGTTTGCCGAGAGTACCGTCTACCTCTTCGTTCTAACCTTCGTTGACTATGAAAAAGCGTTTGATAGCTCGAGACTAATGCCATACTGTCAGCGCTCGTCGACCAAGGGGTGGACCTATCTTACGTGATGACATTGGCCGACGGCTACAGGAACTGCTCTACAAAGGTACAGCTTTTCCATCGTCCCCTTAACATACCAATTTCGAAGGGGGTTCGACAAGGCGACATCGTGTTGCCGAAGCTGTTTACCGCCGCCTTGCAGTGGGTAATAAAATCACTGGATTGGAACGAGAGAGGTATCGTCGGCTCCCAGAAATATAGCGGGCGGAGCATTACGGCCACTGACGTGGCGCGGCCAGTTGTGAATGGGACATCAATGATTAGCTACCTAAGCACATGGACATCAGGTGTCCCATTCACAATCGACCGCACCGCATCAGTGGTGGTCATCGCCGTAATGCTCCGCCCACTCTATCCCTGGGAGTCGACGATATACGAGTTGATGGGAGATTCCTCTCAAACCTTCGTTTTGCGGCGACATTGTTCTCTTTTCGAGGGATATCACAGACGATGTTGAAGGAACTAAACGAAGTATGGAAGCGGATAGGACCGCGAATCAACACTCAGTTCATGAAGAACGCCTTTTGCAACCATCAGGAAATGTTAGAGGGCTCCAAATGCGGAGACGTCTTCTTACGTATATCTCAAGCGTTCG